GTGGCCCCTGAAATTGGGAGGCTCTACAGCTGACAGGCCCTATCCGAAATTTCTTACTTAGAGGAGACCCGAAATCACTGCTTCGCAACCCGTGTGCCGCAGTATTATCGAAATCATAGGAACAGAAAGAACATCACTGTTTAAATATTCTGAAGCTACGACCGACGAACGTCAGTCGAGATGACTATTGGGAGATGAGAATATTATAGACATTGACATGGGTTCGGTATGCCGCGAGGATCGAGTAAACTCGAAAGGGTGTCGTGAAATAAAAAAAGGTTGAGAACACAGCCCTCAATGACTCATTTATTTCCACTGCCCATAAAACACTTGATGATGGGTCTTTTAAGAGCGTGTACTCAGTGATGGGCCGCCGCGCAGGGAAATTCCACAAATTAGGCATTTGTAGCAAGAGCACCTCTGAAGTGTGTATGTGTTTCTTTGCTACTAGCTTATGCCTCAACTGGGGTTGGCGTGCTATGGAATCAAAGTTGTTGGAATTTTTATGTGCTGCGGCCCATTACTGCGAACCGGTCCGTCACTTTTACCTTATTCAACGACTCGACTATACAGTACCTACATCCGCGCGGTGCACGAACCCAATTCATTCTTTGGGAATGCTTTCACCATTCCGAATGAACCGCGAGTCCGTGAGATTTCCCCCACTCTCCCCTTTCCCTACCCTCTGGAGCTCACCGCGCCCACATCAGCCCTGGTAGCGGCAAGGGCTGTGGCGGGACTGGAGAACGACCGGACGGCGACGAGGACGTGACCATGTCGTGTAATTCTGACCAAGGTGCCCTTCTCACTCCAAGTCATCCAGTGATGATAGACTTTCGCCACTTCTCGATGCGTCTGCACACAGTCTGGGAAACTTTGGTCCAAGGTCAGGAAATGCGTCGAATCGCTCTCATTAGTCGGGAAATGATTTTATTAATAAGATTTTCTTTGCGGTACCCAGACAGCAATTTATCCCCGCGACACGTGTGTTTATTCTCCCGCAGTCAGATGTTCCAAGCTTGGCCTTCGTACACGAGCCACACTATGCTTATTACACACGTGCACCACGTGTGTAATATGCTTAACGCGTAACGTAAATGTCAGCATTTTCGGTGGCACCCACCCTTTTTAAAATCCCAACTGGAATATTCCAGCTGGACCAAATCTATAAATTCGGACCATTTCCAGCTGGCAAAGAGCTGGAAAGTAGTATGTACCAGTTGCTTCTTAGCTGGAATTTTCCAACTGGAATGCAGCTGGTTTTAATAACTGTTTCCAGCTGGAAAATTTTCAGTCGGATTTTTATAAAGATGACACTTCAGCTGGAATGAAGCTAAATTTACAGTTGAAAATCAGCTGTTCCTGTAGATGGACCTTCGACATAAATAGTCAACAAAAAGATTCTCATTTAGTTAGTGATATAGCAATTAAGAACAAATCTGGAGATGACAACATTCCAGCTGTTACCCAGTTGGAATGAGCCCGAATTTATAGCTGGAGTCCAGCTGGAATTTATAGCTGATTCCAGCCGGGATTTTAAACTGGGCAGTCAAATACATCTGTGGGCCAGGTATTTCTTTGGTATATAGTAAGTCCGCGACAAGCAACGCCATGATTGCGTTTCTACAAGTGCAAGCATGGTACGAACGAAGTGTATGCATGTTGTACAATTTGTTTATCCACTTGTTCTGTGGCAACTTAATCATAGTGGGTTTCACGGAAAGGTCCATCCCTTTCGTTCCGCGGAATATACAAAAATAAATTTCATATTTTCCTTATTCCAACCTCAGAATGGAGAAATGCGGAATGGAATACGCCAACACTCGACCTGTACTAGGAATACATTCGGATAAAAAAGGAAAGCCATATGTCGGCGAAAGATTCTCAAAGGGAATATAATGAATATCATGTGAACTTGTTCATCGCCTGAGCTCCGTAACCTCCCGTCACTGGGAACCGGTCTGTCACTGGGAATTTTACCCTATTCAGCGACTCGACTATACCTACATCCGCGCGGTGCATGAACCCAATTCATTCTTTGGGAATGCTTTCACCATTCCGAATGAACCGCGAGGCCGTGTTTAAAGGAGCTCTCTTCCTCTTAGGATGAGAGAAGAAGTAGTACTTAGGGGGCTGGGATTCTACTCTTCACTAATCTCGTGCACTGCTGTAATAAAGAGCTTAACTTCAGCATTTAATGATTTCCAGCGTCATCTATTATTAAAAAAAAGAAGAAAATATATAAGAATTTCATGTTTTCCATATATATATTTATGGATTGCAAAATAAAAAGTAGAAGGATGGTAAGAAAATCTGATACTATATCAGGAAAACCAGTACTTAATAGTACAGTAATTGTAGGATGCAGGGAACAAGGGTTCCTTCTAGTGAGGAATCTTGGTATTGCAACTGCAGGATGGTCAGCTAAAGTTTCACATGGATGGTGTGGTGTTAATTTTTCATAAACTTGATATCATGTACTTCCCGTCAGATGGAGTGACGTGTAGTTGATGTAAAATACACGTACACTTTGGTGATGTAAATATAGGAACGTACATTTTATGTAAACGTGATGTCATTAAGTACCGTTAGCGTTCTTTAAATGTATGTTTGCAAAAAATTGATATCTTGTTTAGGTGAACATGCTCCTTGGGCGGTTCGATCGCAGAAGGCCGAGTTTCTCGAGCGTACCACGACCACATCAGCCCCAGTTGCGACGGGAACTGTAGCTGTACTGGAGAACGACCGGACGGCAACGAGGACGAGCACAAGCCGCGGCACCCCGACCAAGGTGCCCTTCACACACGCGTCTTCCAGCGATGCAAGAATTACCCCTCTCTCCATGAGTCTGCCTGAAACTTTTGTCCAAGGTCAGGAAATGCGTCGAGTCGCTCTCGTTACCCGCGTAACGATTTCATTCATACAAAGTTATTGAGGTATGCTTAGAAATCTGGAATAAAAAAAGGGAAAATAAAGATGAAATATAAGGCAGAGCAAGGAAAAGTAATACAATCAATCGCCAAAAAACATTGTGCGTTTTATCCATTAAGTCGTGTTCGACTCTTGGTGAACTGATGCACATGGTCTCGCCAGCATATTCTATCTATGGCCAACTCCTTCATTTCTTGCATCCCCAGTTGTTTGTCTTCTTTGAAAGCTTCCCTCCATCGTGTTCTTTGTCGTCCTCTCCTTTTTCCTTCCGTTTTATCAAGCATCAATGTATCTTCTAATTAGTCTTGTCTTCTCATTATATCGCCGAAATATTTCAGCCTCGATTTTCTCCTTGATACCTCCAGAGAGCAGTTCGGCTTCACTTCGTTCAATATTGATTTGTTTCTTTTCCATGTTCCATGGGCTTACAGTCCATTGTACGTTCAGCATTCTTCTCCAGCACCACAATTCAAAAGCATCTATCTTTTTCCTTTCAGCTTTCTGATTGTCCAGCTTTCACTACCATATGTTGAAACTGGAAAAGCCATGGCTCTGACAAATCGTACTTTTGTCGACAGTGTGATGACAGTGCATCTGATCAATTTATCCAGGTTCGTCTTGGCTTTTCTTCCAAGGAGCAGACGTCTCCTTATTTCACGGCTGTAATCACCATCCATGTGGACGATCGACCCCAAGAATACGAAGAATATGTAACAACTTGAACTTCTTCCTCATCTATCTTCACTTGAGTGATACAGCCAGTGGACATTATTTTGGTCTTTTTACCGTTGAGCAACAAGCCAGCTTTTGCACTTTCTTTTTAAACTTCATCAGTAGCTCCTTCAAATCTTCCTTATTTTCAGCCATCAAGGTGGTGTCATCGGCATATCTTCCATATCGTATCGGCATACATTTCGGATATACAGTTATATGTAGTCTGTGTTGGGCGGTAACGAAGTAAAAGTAACGCGTTACAGTAACTATTGCTTTTTTCAGTAACTTTTGAGGTAACGAGTTACTTTTCAGGGGAGGATAACGGAACCCGTAACTAGTTCCTTTTTAATGGGTAAAGTATGTGGCGTTACTTTAACTCGTTCCTTTTCTTGATGATTTACTAAATTAGCCGAAAACAACCAGCGCTTCATGGCCACATGCATCCTAATTGATGCAATATTGAGAGGAAAGACGGGGACATGAAATTGCCTAGAGAAAACATGGTTTATTCAGTGCAGATTTCTTGGCTGTACCTGCAAACATATTTCGATGTGCAGGTCAGAAACGAATGCAGAGTTCCATCGATGCAGTGGCGTATTTTACGGGGGGGGGGGGGAGTCTAGCCCCACCTTAAAGGCAATGCTTTTCTCTCCTGATATCTCTCAGGTGGGGTTTCACTCTATTGCCCTGCCCCACCCCGACACTTCAGTCAAAATACGCCACTGCATCGATGCAAACTTTTGTGTGAAAGTGCTCTATGTTTATTGATGGCCAAGGTACTTTCCGTTGCACGAACTCCAGCATCTAACTTGAGAAAGCATGTCTAGATGAGTTCCATCGTGTCCTGACTCTATACAGACAACGTTTGGTTTAACGTTAGATCTAAATGATAGGCGTTGCTTTGGTTCAGATAGTGCATCTACTTACTTTGTACTTACTTACTTACTTACTTTGATACTTTTTGGATGACATACTTGTAATTGTAACTAGTTAGTTTTCAAAAGTAACGCGCCCAGCACTGTATGCAGTAATGTGAAAACCAATTTTCCATGTCTTTCCCTTTTCTTCGAACCCCCCCCTCTCGCCTCTCTATGGGACTGACGTTAGGCCTAGGCCTAACCAACGTGCCTTCAGGTCACGCCAACGCCTACCTTTTTCTTCTCAAAAGAAACTCAATTCTCAATTAGGGCTATAAAGGTGAATCGTAGTCTTCGAGGTATCTGGTCGGGGTCGTGTAACGTTAGACCTATCTGGAGTTCCTCGAACCATCTGGAACAGGTCTGCCTTCAAGAAGCATGCAATCCCTGGTACGCGCCATCCTGTTACTTCAGGGATGTCCTGATGAGATATTAAGATATCCCACCACATCGATCGATAACTGCTAACCACCGCTTCATTCTCAGCTCAACACATGAAATCAGCACAAAAATGTCTCATCGTTAAAAAAAAAAAGAAACAGAAGATCCAGACGCCAATACGAAGGTTGAAACAGTCTAGAATCTGGCATAATTTCGGCACGGTATCCAGCAACACTGGGGGACGGCACAAGAGCCAGCATTCTAAGCCTAATTGAACGACAGCTAATTTCATTTTTCATGGCGAAATGGAACATCGCAAACAAAGAAAAAGCCACTCTTGTTATCTACAAGTCAATATCTTTCTTATGGTTAGTCTCCTTCCTCCGAATATCCCATAGGAGTGGGTACCCAGTGGGAGGAGGGGAGGAAAGAAAAAAAATGAAATTCACATCCTCCTAAAACAAGATTCAGTGTTCTCCGCAACCCTGGGGAGATTAAGCTTCAAATTTCCTGGAGCGATTCTGTGGTGCGAGAGGAAGATGCATGCCAAATATCGTTCCTGTTCATTCTCTCAGAGAGGAATACAAGGAGGATGAATGTTGCTAGGGGAAGTGATTGAAGAAGGTAATAGGTGCTACAGCGCCTATTGATACCCAAGTAGCATGTTCACGTAAACAAGATATCAATTTTTTGCAAACAATGTAAATTTCTTGCGATTGCCATGAAAATGACAGTACATTTACGTAAAATTTACGTTCCTATATTTATGTCACCAAAGTGTACGTGTATTTTACATCAACAAGACGTCACTCCATCTGACGTGATGTACATGAATTCAAGTTTATGAAAAATTAACACCACACCATCCATATGAAACTTTAGCTCACCATCCTGCAGTTGCAGTACCAGGATTCCTCACTAGATGGAACATTTGTTCCCTGCATCGTACAATTACTATTAAGTACTGGTTTTCCTGATATAGTATCAGATTTTCTTACCGTCCTTCTACTTTTTATTATGCAATCCATGAATATATATATGGGAAACATGAAATTATGAGATATATNAAACGTGATGTCATTTTCATGGCAATCGCAAGAAATTTACATTGTTTGCAAGAAATTGATATCGTGTTTACGTGAACATGCTGCTTGGGATGATATGAAATGGGCAAAAAATTTATATTCATTTTACGTAAAATTAACATAAACATGCTGTTTCGGTATTTTCCGCATCCAATATTTTGGATTGGTAATATTGGGTGCATCCCATCATCCCGCCCCAATCCTCTTCAAATTTCCCTGTGCATTAGTTTTCAGGGAGTTCATTCCAATACTATCGACATGAGACTCACCTTAGGCCTACGAATTCGGAAGATGCAGTTACGAGAGACCTCCGATTCCATGAATCACTGAATTCACTAATTCACATTCATTGCATTCCTATGAGCCACAACGATCACATTTTCCAATCGGATGAGGGTGAAAACGCAGAAACCTCGAGTTCTGCAGCTTAGAGACGTAAGAGAGCTAAAGGTCGGTTAGATCGGCCTTACGTGAACAAGGGTCGGGCCTGTAATGCTCGGTCGGCCGTCGGGTTTCAAGTCGATTCGGCCATGGTTCGAATCGGGGCCGATCAGGTCTCGTTGGGAAAATTCGACCCTTCCTCGCCTCTGGTGGATAGAAAGATGAACGTCAGCTATTATAGCAATAATGCATCAAAATCGTTCCGTTTAAAATTAACGAACAAGAGAAACATTTCTACGCTTGTCTCTTTCTTTAGGATTTCTCTGAATCATTTCATTCGAACTCGCATTGAAATTCATCGGGATGCAGACAAAATTGTCTGATATAGCCCCAGTCATTAACTTGAGGATACCCGGTTCCCCCGACTTTCTCTTTCTAGATGGATCCCACGCGACTAATGATCAAGGCTCGCGCAGGATGGAGGATGATGCTTCCTTCCGGAATCTGATGTCTCCCCTCTTCTCGAACTCCACCTGAGGCTTCCTAGCATCTATGGGATCTCTCGCCCTACTGCAAATCGGTGAGTCGATCAGCACTCGTCGCCCGGGCGACTCCGATCCCTTGAAATCTCCCATTCTCGCCGCTGTCGATTCCAAACATTTAGTTGCATAGGTCGCGCTTAAACACGTACTGTACTCTCCTAGCAAGTTTCAGTACGAGTTTATCCAGGCAAACCTGATTCCTATGGAACTGATGTTTCGCATGTCTGAATGCAAACATTTAAAAAGTGGACATTCAATGAAGATCTACGAAATAGTGACCCACTTCTTTCAATTAAGATTCGCATGGATGGTGTGGTGATAATTTTTCATAAACTTGATATCATGTACTTCACGTCAGATGGAGTGACGTTTAGTTGATGTAAAATCACGTACACTTTGGTGACGTAAATATGGGAAAGTAAATTTTATATAAGCGTGATGTCATTTTCATGGCAATCGCAAGAAATTTACATTATTTGCAAAAATTGATATCTTGTTTACGTGAACATGCTGCTTGGGCAGAATGCGGTTCGATCGCAGAAGGCCGAGTTTCTCGAGCTGTACCACGACCACATCAGCCCCAGTTGCGGATGGGAACTGTAGCTGTACTGGAGAACGACCGGACGGCAACGAGGACGAGCCCAAGCTGCTGCACCCAGACCAAGGTGCCCTTCGCACACGCGTCTTACAGCGATGCAAGAATTACCCCTCTCTCGATGAGTCTGCACGCAGTCTGGGAAACTTTGGTCCAAGGTCAGGAAATGCGTCGAATCGCTCTCATTAGCCGGGAAATGATTTCATTCATGAGATTTTCTTGCGGTACCCAGACAGCAATTTATCCCCGGGACACGTGCGTTTCTTCTCCCCGCAGTCAGATGTTCCAAGCTTGGTCT